CTGGGTAAGAATAATGATCAGTTGATGTATATCATTCTTAATAAGTTAGCTTGTAGGGAGAGTTTATACTGGAGAAAAAGCATTTCTGTTATATTAAAGTTTCTTGGTTCTTTTTTTCCCTTGATGGATCAGAAAGCTTAATTTTTATTGGCTGGACATTGTGGTTTTCTTTGTAATGTATTGAACAAAAATTTATTTCTTGAATGGGATTACCCATGATACCAGTATATGATAGAGTCGAGGCAATATACTAGGTTAAAAGTTTTTTTAGTAGGCACACTGTTATCTTCCTCTTAGCTTAAATATAAACCAAAAGTGTATATCAATTTCTATTCATAGTGAACCTATGATTATTTAGGTGTGGAGTTGTAGTTTCAATTTATTCTATTCTAATTTTTAATACACTCATGGTACATTTTAGCTTTCATTTATATTTTAACATAATTGTTTAATATTTAACAAGTAAAAATTAATATACTCTAAGGCTGATCTATTTTGAATTTATTATTGTGTTCACTTTATTCTCTTTGCCTTTAGTTCTGCTGTGTGAATAAAACAAGAGGCCCTTAGATATGTTAACTCTAAAATGTGCAGTGCTTCAAAGATCTCTGAGGATAAGTTAACAGTACTGTAGGGCTCTGAGTGGCTCTGTCCTCTCCTGTTGCTGCAGCTGTGCCTACTGTGCTGTTCATAGCTGACTCTAACAAATTAGAGAGGTTGAGCCCCAGAACCTATGGGAGATTAATTGTGTGGGAGGGGCATATGCAGGAACACTTTTGCACACTTTTTCATGCTGCTTCTCACTGTTCTGCTTTCTCCTGACTTTTCCCAACTCTCCCTTTCTCTTTCCCATTTCTCTTTGTTTTCTGCCTTTTGAGATTCAGTATCACCCTATTCACTTCATGAGGTACACATTGACATTAAGAACCGTACAGTGAGTGAGGTTCCTGTACAGAAATGAATACAAAGAGGTCCTGCCCACAGAAGGCTCACAGTGGAGTGGACAGTTGACTCCCCACTGATATCAGTATCTCACTACTGATGCTGTGAGCTGCTGAGAAACTGAAGCCAGGGTGTGAGTAGTTGCAGGAGCTGATGTGCCCAGGACCAAGCTCAAGAACATGTGTGTCTCATGTTCACTCCTTCCATCCTCCCTTCCTCCCTATTCTTTTCTTCTTGAGATGGAGTCTGACTTTGTTTCTGAGATTGGCCTTGAGCTTGGTGCTCAAGTGGTCTTCCTGCTTCATTCAGCCTTCTGAGCAGTTGGAACTGGGGGTACATTCCACTACCCCAGTTGCAGTTGCTGCTTTCTTAATGAGAGCTGGAGGCTTGGGGATCCTGCTATGGGTCTAACCTACTTCAGAGTTAAGTGGAGTTGACTGTGTTATCTGACTCTAGATAATTCAGGACAATTAGTGCACATATCAGGGAGAGAAGGGGGTGCTGGAAAGTTAGTAGGGTTGGCCAGCCTTTAGCTAACAGCAATTGTTTTTGTACAGATCACTGCTTATGTTTTAGGATAAGGATAAGCTTATATGTTAGCACTTTTCCTATGATTTTATAAATTAAAAAATGTAACAGTTTTCTAGTTTGCTTTAAATGCAAATGTTATATTTGTTAAAGTAGTTACCATTTCTTTAAAAATTAAAAATTTGAAATCATCGTTTGAACAGTTGTTTTCCTATTGGCTCATACTTTGCTAGAAATGCCAAAGAATGTTTCAGAATTAGGGAAATATATTTAGTTCATTAGCACTAAGTATATATCATACAGAGTTGTAGGAGAGGATGTAGCAAAACAACAGAAAATTAGGCATTTTAAAGGTGCAATTGAAGCAGCAGTTCCCAGTTCTCTATCACAATCAAGACTGTTGTAAGATGATCATGACTAATGGAAGCTCTGAGAGATTAATGTTCTCATTGTTTGACACACATAGTTTTTGTTCTTTATGTTTCTACATCACTATTTCTATCAGTTATCATGATTGCTTGTTTTAAGTTAGTGAAAGGTTTTGAAAATGTTTATATGTATATTTACACACACAGATAGTGTGAGATTCCAATTTTAATTTGGGGTCCAGTTTTTTGTAGAAATTGAATATTCACTTTGTACCTCATGTTTTTTAAAAATAAGTTACACTCTGTACATGTCTGAATTTTGACTTTATACATATTTAATATAATATATTTTAGATTCTAAAATAAGTAATTTATTTATGATAGCTATATTTTAATACTATTGGATTATTGAATTTTTCTGAATATAAAATTACTTGAAGAAGAAATACCTTTTCATTTGTGAGAGTTCTAGATGTACAGTTTCTGCATTCTTAAGACTGAACTTCAGTTAGAGCCTATTGATTAACTGTGTTAAGAAATTACCTTTGTTCAAGTAAATATGTTTATGTAACTTATGACCAAGTTTGAATGCATCTTCTGTCTTTAGTAGATGAACTTCACAGTGTGATTTGCTTGTTTTATAAAACCAGTCTCTAGGAGTGAACATAAAGGTTTACTTAGAAACATATTTTTGAGAATATTTTATTTTTTTACAAATACCAAATTTGCCTGAGGTCTGCCAACCACCTGACTTTGGGGTGGATAGGGGATAAGAATAATGTCTATTACAGATCCCTGGACATAGGGTTTTCCTCAGAAAATATTTGAAATCCTGTGCTAATCCAGTCAGAGAATTTTTTAGGAGGCTGTCCAGGAATTGAGGTTTTATTTCAGTGTATTTGTCGCCCATAGCCGAAGACTTCTTGGTCGCTAAAGAAAATTTGCTTTCTGTAGCTTTGCCTTTTACACTTTTGGTGGCTTAAAAAACTTTTTGTGTCCTTTAAGAGTGTTTTGCTTGAGAATGTTTACATAGCAATAGAACATTACCCCCCCTCACACTCCCTTTCCATGTGTCTCCACACATAACCTAGACTTAGAACTCACTTTGTAGCTCAGGCTGGTCTTGGGGTATTTCACCCCCACTTTCAGTCTCCTGATACTAGGATTACAGACCTGTTCTAGGACTCTTATTAATTTACAACCAAACTGTTATGTAGAAAGTGTATGCTCCAGAGGTGAGCGTTGTTCTGTGGTATTACTACATTGTAGTCATTTTTAGTGATGCTGCACATTGATGTATTGGGGAAAGCTTTATGTGTGGAAGAGAGGTTTCTTGTGGTTGATTCAGTATTTTTGAGCCAGGAGGTAGCTCACAATGTAGCCTAGACTGGTTTGAACTCTGAAGTTATGGTCCTCCTGCCTCAGTTTCTGAGTGTGAGGATTACAAGCATGTACCTTCACATTCTTAATTGTCAAACCTTTCTTTTATAGTAATTATCTCTTACTGTTCTAAATTGGTGGTAATAAAATGGCAGTAGTAAAACTGGAGGAAGGATGTTTCTTGAATCTTTTCAGAAGTTTGTTTTGGATATTCATAGTTTGCTGAACTGATAAGAGTGTTTGTAAAAGGTGGTACTTTGGCTTATTAATGGAATGTATAGAACCAAGAAAGAAGTGGTGGAGAAAGGGCTAATTTTTCATGTTTAAATAAAGGCTTAAAATTCATTTCTTAAAAAATATTTATTTATTTACATATATGTCTCTATACCTACTTATCTGTCTGTGTGTATCATATACATACAGGATCCTCCAAGCCAGAAGAGGGCATTGAAGCCCCTGGAACTGGAGTTACAGGTGACTGTGAGCTGCCTGATGTGGGTAGGTGCTGGGAACTGAAGCTTAGTTCTGTGCAAGAGCAGTAAATCTTCCTTACTACGCTGAGTCATCTCTCCAGCCCTGGCTGATTACATTTTTAATTCTGTATTTTTTTGTAGTAAAAGTCCCGCAACTAACGACTAAAATTTTGTCATTTAGAAATTAATGACCGCAGCTGAGCTTTTCTTATGAAACAAAATGAACACATTTACTGCTTTTTGGTATTAGTATAGTTTACTTAAATGAACACATTTACTGCTTTTTGGTATTAGGATAGTTTATTTAGATTTATATAGATGAAGTGAGTTGACAGAAGACATTTTTGTAGAGCTGGCCCCTAAGCTCTAGAGACTGATGCCTAGTATATTCATCACTTTCTCTGAGGTCCATGATAAAATGCCAGTATACAGTCCTCCTTGGAACAAAAACACTTCTGTGCTAAAGCTCCAGAAATGTATCTGTGGTCTATGGGCAGTCAGGTCCATTTGTTCTCTCTTCACATACTACCATAAGAGATACTGCTTACTTATCTTCCACACTGGAAGTTGTTAGAACCCAGATTTCTCCCTGAAAATTACTTTTGTTACTAGAAGGAAGATTCCTAATGGTTGCTACATTTATGCCTACGCTATTTTTGAAGAAGGAAAGCATTTAAATGGGATTGATTCTCTCACGTTACAGAGTTTTCCTTCATGTGCCAGTTACTCTCACTGACAGTAAAGAGATGTTTGACAAAACTTTTGTGGCCGAATGGAGGAGAGTAGAAGTGATGTGGAAAGGCTCCAGAGGCCAGTCTCAGCTGCATTATTGTTCAAAGCTTTTCAGGTTTGCTTAGAAATTTAGGGTGGTGCTTTTCAAACACGGTGTGATATTCTCACTACTTGGTTTCCTGTGTTTCTCAAATCCAGACAAAAATGTCCAAATGGGTAGGCTATACCACCAGAAGTTTGTGGCTGTCATCTTGATATTGGTCTTATCAGGTGGGACTACGAAGCAAACATTAACCTGAAGTGAGGACTAAGTGTAGACAAGCATATCTCCCCTTTAGAGTGACCCTGATAACAATACTCTGCATGACTGAAACCCATCTGTACCAGTGTCTGACTGCTGGAGACTTTGAAGCGAAATTAATCTAGAGGTCCCTTTGAAGAACTATATACTCTGAGAGAGTAGACATGTATACACAGGTTATGTGGTAGAAATAATAGGTGGTGATGATAATGATGATTTGAGACAGGGTCTCAACACCCTGGCCTAATTGTGAATCAAAGGTTCTATGCCCTATTTTTTTTTTATAAACATTTCACGAGTTTGCGTGTCATCCTTGCGCAGGGGCCATGCTAATCTCTGTATTTTTCCAATTTTAGTATATGTGCTGCCGAAGCGAGCACCCTAATTTTTTAAAAAAATTCTTTCATTTGCTAAATCCAACTAAAAGTCACATTAAGTGAAAAGACAGTTTTTCATAGTCTAACCTTTTCAAAAAGAAATCCATTCATAGAATATACTTATGGGTAACAAGAAGTGCTTAATTGTGTCTACTAAGAAATAAAAGTCTTATTTACATCTTGATGTTTTAAACATGGAAGATGTGGTGATTTGAATATGAAGGCTCATATGTTTTAATGCTGAGTCCTCATGGGGTAGCACTATTTGAGAACGATAAAGAGGTGTGGCCTTGCTGGGGTAGATGTGGCCTTGTTGGAGTAAGTGTATCAATGGGGGTGGGCTTTGAGGTTTCAAAAGCCAATGGCAGGCCCAGTCTGTCTGCCTACCTCTACCACTCCCCTGTAATTTCAGATCAGGATGTAGCTTTCAACTCCTGCTGTAGCTTCATGAGTGCTGCCATGTTCCCTGCCATGATGGTAATAAACTACACTCCTGAACAACAAGTAAATTTTTTTTTTAAGAGTTTGCTTGCTTTCATGTATAAGAGTTGCCTAGGCCATGGTGTCTCTTCACAGCAGTAGAACAGTCACAGTAGAACAGACACTGAGACAGGAGGTATTTAATGGGTCAGAAGAAGCTATTTGTATTGTGGAAAGGAGTACAACAGTGCTGTGTTAACTTTATCTGGACTGACACTAATTTTGCATGGATGAGCCGGCTTCTTTGCCACTTCCCTTGTTTGCTTTGATAATAACCCAGTGTTAGATGTAAATTAAAATTCAACTGTACTTTCTTTCCCTGAGCAAATGGGTGTATTCACTGAATTCTCTGCATCTTAAAGCTTACTTTATCCTACTCTGTTTGCTAATGAAGTTCTTATAGAATTGGGAAGTCCAGAAGAGTTAATTACTTAATGACTGATGGGAATCACTATGGCAGTTGGGCAGATAAAGAAAGATTGTATCACATTCGCTTTTTGACAAGAATCTGAACTCATATATGGTTACTAATACTATCCTGAGCGAACTTCTTAAGGAGGACAACTCAGATCTGGTAGTTTTAGTGGCTTCTCAGTTTATGTACTGCTGTGACTATTTTACCTGCCTGCTACCTACAGGTCTCGTTAGCCCCATTACCTAGACTCAGTGGAGCTGCAGGCCAGTCAGTGTGCTTCAGCCAGGAACCTTTTTGCTTTTCTTCATTGCATTGAACAGCTCTTTTTATTCCATCATGGCACACACAGTTTTATAATATTGACTGAAAAAATACTGATAGAATAGTAAGAAATATGGTTAAGGTGCTAAATGTTTTCTATGAAGTATTTTGTGGGGTAGAGCTAAGTGGTGTAGTTCTGTCTTTTAATTATGCAAAGCCCTGTACTTGATCCCCAATGCCACAAAACATATGAAAGACAAAAATATGAGAAAACTCTGAGCGGGAATAAATGAAGGATTCAGAGCATTAACACCCTCTCTCTCCTCCCCTGGACTTGGACTGGAGATGTCTTAACTAACAGCTGTTACCTTTTTGGTACCATATAGGGTGGTGATATGGCTGTGGAATTCCAACTCCTAGATTCCTGTAGAGTCTGCAGAGCATTCATGCTTGGAGTTAGGGCTGGTAGATAGTGTTGGTAACATGTCTCCATTACATCAATGATTACAAAGTCATTAGATCTAACTGAGACACACTCCTGAGACTTTATAGGGATCATCTGAGAAATATGAGAAATGATAGGAGCAAGAATGCTCAGGTTGTTCTAGCAGGTACATGAAAATGTATATATTTGTATCTTTAAGGACTTTAAATTAAAGCCCAACTTGTTCTTTAGGCTTTAGTATGACTAAATTTAGAGAACTGGCTGTTGAAAGATCTAGAATAAGTGACAAGGAAATTGTATTTAAAATAGAAACAATAAATTCTGAAACAAGTGTTTAGTGTGTATGTGTGGTTCATGTATTTCTGTGTGTGGAGGCTGGAAGTCAACTTCAGATGTTGTTCCTTAGGTCCCATAAGTGCTGAGGCAGGTAAGAAAATTAAATTTTGCCCTTCTGGCAGATGACATAGTCATGGTGGGAGAGGTAGTCATTCCTCAGATAGTGGCAGATTGGTTAAGTTTGAAGAGGATGCCTGCTGCTACATTATTTTGCTAATAGTTGACAATAGAATCTATATATTCACGGTGGGATTAAATTTTTTTAACTTGTTTTTTTAATTGATTTTATTGAGCTATACATTTTTCTCTGCTCACCTCTTTCCTCTCCCCTCCCCTTCAACCCTCTCCCATGGTCCTCATGCTCCCAGTTTATTCAGGAGATCTGGTCTTTTTCTACTTCCCATGTAGATTAGATCCATGTATGTCTCTTTTACGGTCCTCGTTGTTATCTAGGTTCTCTGGGATTGTGATTTGTAGGCTAGTTTTCTTTGCTTTATGTTTACAAACCACTTATGAGTGAGTACATATGATAATTGTCTTTCTGAGTCTGGGTTACCTCACTTAAAATGATGTTTTCTAGCTCCATCCATTTGCCTGCAAATTAAAGATGTCATTTTTTTTTCTGCTGTGTAGTACTCCATTGTGTAAATGTACCACATTTTCTTTATTCATTCCTCGGCCTAGGGGCATTTAGGTTGTTTCCAGGTTCTGGCTATGACAAACAATGCTGCTATGAACATGGTTGAGCACATGTCCTTGTGGGTGTGATTGAGTAATCTTTGGATATATACCCAAAAGTGGTATTGCTGGGTCTTGAGAAAGGTTGTTTCCTAATTTTCTGAGAAATTGACATACTGATATCCAAAGCAGCTGTACAAGTTTGCATTCCCACCAGCAATGTAGGAGTGTTCCTTTTACCCCACAACCTCTCCAGCATAAGTTGTCATCAGTTTTTTTGATCTTTGATGGAGGAAGGTCATAATAAATAATATAAATATAATAAAGAAACTGCTTGGCCCTCATAGGTTAAAACATAGGTGGGAGGAGTAAACAGAACAGAATGCTGGGAGGAAGAGGAAGTGAACTCAGAGGCCATACTCCCCTCTCCCGGGCAGATGCCATGAAGCAAGCTGCCAGGTCAGACATGCTGACTCTTTCCCGGTAAGACTGATGCTACACAGATTATTAGAGATGGGTTGATCGGGATATGAGAATTAGCCTGTAAGGGCTAGAGTTAATGGGCCAAGCAGTGTTTAAAAGAATACAGTTTGTGTGTTGTTACTTCGGGTTTAAAGCTAGCCGGTGGCCAGGAGCTAGGCTGTGGGAAGAGGCCCACAGCTTCCTACAACAGATTTTGGCCATTCTTACAGGTGTAAGATAGAATTGTTGTTTTGATTTGCATTTCTCTGATGACTAAAGATATTGAGCTTTTTCTTAAGTGCCTTTCAGCCATTTTAGATTCCTCTGTTGAGAGTTCTCTGTTTAGATCTGTCCTCCATTTTTTAATTGGATTATTTGTTCTCTTGATAACTAATTTCTTAGAGTTCTTTGTATATTTTGGAGATTAGACCTCTGTCTGATGGGGGTTTGGTGAAGATCTTTTCCCCTTCTGTAGGCTGCCATTTTGTCTTGTTGACTGTGTCCTTTGCTTTACAGAAGCTTTTTAGTTTTAGGCGGTTCCACTTATTAATTGTTTCTCTCAGTGTTGTGCTGATGGGGTTATATGTAGGAAGTGGTCTCCTGTGCCAAAGTATTCAAGTGTACTCACTGAGTACACTTGTCCTGAGAGGTTCAGTGTGGCTGGCTTTATGTTGAAGTCTTTGTTCCATTTGGACTTGTGTTTTGTTCATGGTGATAGATATGGATCTATTTTCATTCTTCTACATGTTGATATCCAGTTATGCCAGAACCATTCGTTAAATATGCTTTCTTTTTTTCCATTTGATATTTTTTTTTGCTTCTTTGTCAAAAATCAGGTGTTCGAAGGTGTGTGGATTAATATCCAGGTCTTCTGTTCTCTTCCATTGGTCCTACTGTCTGTTCTTACGCCAGTACCAGGCTGTTTTTAATACTGTATTTCTGTAGTAGAATTTGAAGTCAGGGATTGTGATGCCTCCCGAAGTTCTTTTATTGTACAGGATTGTTTAGGCTATCCTGGGTTTATTGCTTTTCCATATGGTCTTTCAAAATCTGTGAAGAATTTTGCTGGGATTTTGATGGGAATTGCATTGAATCTGTAAATTGCTTTTGGTAAGATTACCATTTTTCCTATGTTAATACTACCTACCCAAGAGCATGGGTGATCTTTTCTCTTTCTGGTGTCTTTTTCAATTTCTTTCTTCAAAGATTTGAAGTTCTTGTCATACAAGTTTTCCCTTTGTTTGGTTAGAGTTACTCTGATATATTTTGTGCTATTTGTGGCTATTGTGAAGGGTTTCTCTGATTTCTTTCTCAACCCATTTATCTTCTGTGTAAAGGAGGACTATTAATTTTTTTGAGTTAATCTTGTATCCTGCTACATTACTGAAAGTGTTTATGAGTTGTAGAAGTTTTTGGTAGAATTTGTGGGCTCTCTTATGTAAACTGTTATATCATCAGCAAATAGTGAGAGTTTGACTTCTTTTCCTATTTGTATCCCCTTGATCTCCTTTTGTTGTCTTATTGCTCTGGCTAGGACCTCAAGAACTATATTGAATAGATATGGGGAGAGTTGGCAACTTTGTCTTGTTCCTGCCTTCAGTGGGATTGCTGTGAGTTTCTCTCCATTTAGTTTGATGTTGGCTGTTGGCTTGCTGTATATTGCCTTTATTATGTTTAGGTATGTTCCTTGTATCCCTGCTGTCTCCAAGACTTTATCATGAAGGGGTGTTGTATTTTGTTGAAAGCTTTTTCATCATCTAATGAGATGATAATGTGGTTTTTGTATTACAGTTTATTTATATGGTAGATTACATTGACAGATTTTCATATGTTGAACCATCCCTGCATCTCTGGGATGGCACTGACTTGATCGTGGTGGATGATGGTTCTGATGTGTTCTCGAATTTGATTTGCCAGTATTTTATT